CTATTCCTGGAGCCTTATTTTTTGCCATTTCCTTCAAAGCAGCCTGAACTTCTTCTTTCATCACCATAGGCTCTTGCACTTATGTTGTTTCATGAAATTCTTCTGTGTCTTCTAATTCCTTTCGATACAGTGACTCAGTATATTCCTTCCATCTTCTTTTAATACTTCCTGGATCATTTAACATTCTGCCAAAAGCATCGATTGATTTTGAATATTCCCATATCCTGTGTCTATATCACTTTTATTCATTATTTTATAAAAATACATTTCCATATCCATTTGAACTTATTTCCAATAGATTAGCCCTTCTGGTTATAGTAGCTACACATTTGTGTGACAATAGGTGCATCTGTGATTCTCATAGAAGTCATTTTCCAGGGTGTAGCTATTTTGTACAATGTATCATAAGCTTCTAGCCCACATGATCTACCAATTAAAAATTTTCTTATATGAATAAATTTCTAGAATTCTTAATTATGTTTATATTCATAATGATCTCACAGATTTTTGTTGTTATATTGTGCCGTTGATTTGCCTGTGACTCATAGTGACCCCATGAAAGACAGGCTTGCACTCTGCCCTATCCTGAGCCAATCTCTCTGTCTCTAACACACCTACCCTATTACCCCAATTACTGTGTCAATCCATCTCATACAGGAACTTCCTCTCCTGTGTTGACCTTTCACCCTTCCAAGCGTAAAGTTCTTCTTTAAAGGCTGGTCCTTTCTGGCAACATACCTAAACTACGTGAGACAGAGCTTCAAAATCTTTGTCTCCAGGACAGACCTACTAGTTTTCTTAGCAGTTCAGGGTACGTACTATACTCCTCTCCAGCACCACAATGCAAAGGCATCAATTCTTCTTCTGTCATCCTTAGTCATTGTCCAGCTATACAATACATAAACAAATAATTACTATGGCTTTCATCAGCCACACCTTGGTCTCTAAACTGACAGTTGATATCATTGCTTTTTGACATTCTAGAAAAGTCCCTAGCAGCACAATTTTCCAGTACAATTCATCTTTTAATTTTGTGACTACTCATGCCAAGAGCATTGATTGTAGATCTCAGGAAAATTAAATTCTTAACAACCTCAATCTCTTTTCCATCTATTATAGTGCTGCTAATTGGCCCAGTGGTGAGAATCTTTGTATTTTTGCTACCTGAGTGCTGCAGTCATTGACATTCTACAGCAAACACTTCAAGTCCTTCATAGTTTCCGCCAGCTCGTGTGTCATCTGCATAAGGCAAGTTATTGATGAGTCTTCCTCCAATCCTGATGCCACCTTCCTTCTCTTAAATCTAGCCTCCTGAATGATCTTCTCCGCATATAGGTTGAAAAGGTATGAAGAAAAGATCTGTCCCTGACACAATCCTTACTTGATTCTGAACTATATAGTGTTTCCTTGCTCTGTTCTGATGACAGTTTCCTGGTCTAAATAAATGTTTCACATTAGCACAATCAAGTGTTCTGAGATTCCATTCTTTTCAAGGTTAGTTGCAATTTGTCATGATCCACATAGTCAAATGCCTTTGCATTGTTAAAAAAAACTAAACAGAAGCAGACTGTCTTCTGGCACTCTCTGCTGTCAGCCAATACTCATCTGACATTGGCAATGATATTCCTAGTGCCATAGTCTCTTCTAAACCCAGCTTTTATTTCTGGTAGTTCTCCATAATGTTTAGATAATCCTCAACAGGATTTTGCTTGTGTGTTACATTAGTGATCTTGCTCAATAATTTCCAAACACTGTTAGATCCATCTCTGTTGGATCCTTCTTGGTCTTTTATTCTTCCTTTGTAATGACTTTTGGCGTTCTTTACGAATGATGTTCTCGATATCCTCCCACAGCTCATCTGGTCCTCATTCATTAATGCTCAAGGCCTCAAACCTATTTTCAAGATAGTTTTTAAAATCAGGTGGTGGGATATACTCAAAGTCAAATTTTGTTCTTGTGGATTTGTTTT